ACACGGAAGCTTATTCATTGACTTATTTAAAAAAACCTGCAGCCTGGTGCTGCATTACTTGCGCAGACAAATCTGCTGAAATACAGGGAGCCAGTCGCTTAATTCAATGATGGTCTGTGAGTACAAGTATCAGGACCAGGTTCTTATTCTGTCTATTTTCACTTTCTGATTGTGCTTTGAATTTCTGCTGTTTTCTTGTGAGGCTGACAGACAAGTATCAAAGAGTTTAAGTCTAGTATTTGAACTAACTTTGACTGGTCAACATTTTTTGCATGGCCAAGTAATTAAATTTTATTAGACTGCCTGTGGTGTCTTTCCCCACTTTGTGACCAATGTTCTTTTTTTGATGATATGAGTGGTGGTGACCTATAGCCTGGATGTTTAGCAGAAAGCTAGTTCTCTGTAAAATTCCACATGATGGATCAAAACCCAAAGTTCCCCCCCGCCCAAACCATTGATTTCTTTACAGCTCCTTCATTCAAGAAATGTCATTTCAAACAAGCAAAAATTACTCATGATCTAACACACTGATATACATTTTGACACATAAGTTTATCCTGGGACAAATGCACTTATGTTCTCCTGTTTAGCACCACAAGTCCACCATTGTTGGTTTACAATTCCCAAAGTAAAGACTGCTCTTAATGCCATGTGATGTTTTCTAGACATGAATTATATTAAAAAGAAAAGAAAGGTAAAAGCTCATATATATTTTTATATATGTAAAAAGATGTATATGTAAATATTATTTTTAACCTTACATCTTTATATATATGCATGTTTGTGCATATAGATGTACATATGCTCTAAGCTTTCTTGAAGCCCATGTTTCCAATAATGATTTTAGTCAAAGTTCCCAAATATGGATTTCATTTAGGATTAATGAAACAATTAGTAAGGCAATAACAATTTACTGTTATAACCATAAAACAAATATGTACCTTTTGTAATAAACTTAAAATAGTGGTTTTAATTAGCAAATGGAATTCAATATTTTCTAGTCGTTGCATTAAAATGAAAGTAGATGCAGGGTTGGGAATTTTAATTCAAAACATTCACCTTTATTGCTGGAACGTGTTCCTGAACAAGTTCCTAGATTATTTTAGTAAATGTCCATGCTAATGTACTTGTAAAATGCGGGGCCCAAACTTGTTAACATTCCCTTCTCAAATTAGGACATCAGAAAAATTTCACTTCAGAAGGAAAAAGGGGATTGTATAAAATTACTTCAATCAAGCAAAGATTATTTCCATGTGTAACAGTGTAACTTAATTTACATTCCTACATCTCAAAATAATTGATGCAGTATTTTTAGTAATTACTGAATACTTACTTGCTACATGCAAGATCCCTCAGTTGAGGTAACTGCACTGCAAGCAGTGGTGGAACGAAATCTTACATTTGTGGCAATATGGACTATTCACATCACCTGCTTTAAGGTGTGCAACCCAGGGGCCTCTCTCCTGACAGTGCCTATCTATCTCCCCTCCCTTGTGTAAGTAACCTAAGATGACTTATCTTCCTCTGTACCACATATTTCTACAGTGTTTGTTGCGAAACACTGTGTCCTTAGAGTAAGAAATTATATAATGCATGAGAAAAAAAGACTAGAATACCTCAGTGCCTTCTATACTGCAAATTAAAGTTTCTAAAGCAACTCAATCAAGAAAAGTAAAAAAGAATAAAAGAGTTTGAGAAATCAGCACTTGAAGTGATAATGGCAGGGAGGAATTTCAAAGAAATTTGCAGCTAAGTGAGGCTCATGCCTAATATCTATCCAGGGCTTGCTCCAGACCATTTTTGCTCTAGCTCTGTGAAGCTTGAAGGAAAAGACAATTTTTAAAGAGGTTCGAGGGAGACATTTGTTTGTGTGGCTACTCAGGCTAAGCCAACAGTCTGCACAGCTACAACTGGGAGCTTTGAGTGTGAAGTGTCCATAGACACCAGCCACCAACTGCACATGCCTGCCTACTTCTGCACCGTCACAGACAGCACAGAGTAGGAATGATTTTTTCCAGCCACGTTAGGACACTTTTGACTCTTATTCAACTTGGGTAAGTGCTGGGGCACACTCAAGTCACTAATAAGCTCTTGGAGTCAGCTCCACCCTGGAGCACCCTCAGGGAGTCCTGTGGCTTCAGGGGGAAAGAGCGGATCAAGGACACGCAACAAGCAGCAACATGTTGGCTCTGCCCCTTCCCTCCAAAACCACCCTCACTGCTCCCTCTCCAGCCTTCCTAGTCCCTCAGACCCACAGAAGGGAGGGCAGAGGCAGAGGTGCCAAGAGGCAGAGGACGCGGGGAGAGGAGGAGGAAGAGGAAGAAGGTGGAGGGAGCCAGCCTTGGCAAGCAAAGGTTGCTAAATGCTGTGCTCAGATGCTCAGACTTTATTTCACAGATCTGCTCCCTTGCCCATTGTCCCTTATCTTACATTGGGACAGTTAATTACTCCCACACATCCGTATGGCTTTCAACTTTGTCCTGTTGAAGATCCTTGTATTTTTTTTCGGTTTAATTTTCCAGAGTCACCTTGAATTCTAATCCCACCACCCTGAGTGACTGAGCCCCTTCATCTTACATGGGTAGCTTACTTTGCATGCCTTGTTTTACAAGGGCAAACATGATTTTCATGGATACAAGTCTAATTTATGTCTTCTTAGAAAAATAATCCCTTTTTGTTTCTCTAAATGGTACTGAAATGTAAATTTAATGCAAAACCACAAGTACATGAAGATAATGAAGTATGTTTCTGCTAAGCTCTGTGGTGCCTCATTTGTGCCTCATGCAGAGTGCTGAACTAAGTAAAAACTTGATCTGCATCAAATGAAGTGAACTTAACTGACTTCGTTGAAGATTCATAAATTAGAAGGCCAGAGAGCAAGGCTGCGAGGCTGTTTGGCTGCCTGCATAACAGGGAGATATTCACCCAGCTGTTCTGGCACCACGCTCAGGAGATGCAGCTGATCAATAAACTCAAGGGAGTTCTCCAAATCACTTTCTTCAATTTTCTCTGGAAAATTATCAGAGTCTGGTATACAAATAAACAACTGCCATGCAGATCCAAACTCCAAATATAAGAAAAAAAAAAAGGGAGTTAAAGATTTGCACATATCTTGTGCATCATTTTCCAAGAAAGCCCCCAGAAGTAGCCTTGTCTTGGAGAAGGTTAAAAAGGAAAGAAAAAAAAGCAATGTAAAGGTCTTTCATTTCATCTGATACAAAATACCATATGTTTTTGCATGCTTCATTAACACTCCTTGGTTTGCCGCCTAGAAACGCACAATGAGTTCAACCTTCAGGGGTCAGCAGTGCTCAGCATATCTATTAACTGAGCTGTAAGCGACTGTGGGGACTATCGAGTAAGGGCTGACTCTGCTGAATATTAATCCTGCAGTTTTAGGTTGGATGGTTTGGAATCTGAAGACCAGCTAAGTACATATCATCCCCCATCTTGCAAATGCCACTAATCACCTGTACAGTTCTCTTCTCAGAAATAAAATAGTATTTCATTCAGAGGGTGCACTTGGAGAGTATTCTTCTGAATAGATTTGCTAGACTGTAAAATTTGCTGTTTACTCATAGTTTTGACATTAGATAAATACAGTAGCCTTTTTTTGAGCTTTCTAGTGCAGAGAGTTCTGTGCTTGGAGTGATAACATTCATTTTTGGAAAGCCTAATATTATCAGACTAGCTGTATGTGGTCTGGAATAAAGCTTGCTAAATGCGGCAGAGATTTTGTGGCTGCACTGAAATACAAGCAGTGTAAAGAGACACTGCTTCACTGTCTCATTTTTATGCCCAGTGGTCTTTCAGACTGTTCTGCCTAAATTTTAGTTTTAGTAGATTACCTTCAAATTCGAGTAAATTAGAGCTCAGGATTTACTCACAGTGTAATGCCTTACTCCACTAGAAGCCTAACAATTTAAATGCAAGTGAGCACAATCTCTATAGCTTTAGAGTTGTCTTGACAATGTCCTGTTTATGGACTCTTTTTAGCATACCTAGGCATACATGCATGCAAAGCCGAGAGGTTGAAGTGAAATGACTCAAACAGTGGATCTCTCCTGTTACACCATTAACATTATTGCTATTCCAGACTTTCTTATTCTTGTTAAATAACAGTGGATTTAATAAAAAGGGAATAAGAAGTGTGATGAATATGAAAATGTAATGATGACAGTATAATAAATTAATGCTTACCATTTCCTGAGTGTTTGCAAAATCTGCCTCTTTCAAGCTACACTGCACCAAAAGCATTATAATATTAATCAGGACAATACAAAAGAATACATATTTGTATCAAAATCTACTTAGAGTAATGAGCATTCCTCTAAAGACAA